TAAACCCCAAAAAAATCCTCTAACTTAACCTTTGATTCTTCAGCTAAAATTTATATTTAGTCCCTTACCTTATTAATTTTAAAGTTTTTAACCCCTCATTCTGTACTATAAAGTTTTAAACCCCTAAACTTAAAGATTTGGAGATTTTAGTCCTTAAACTAATAGAATATATTAACTTTACGTTAAAGTAATAATAAAATATTTATAAGATCAATCCTCAAAAATTAAAAATATAATAATTTAGTTCTAAAGGTTTAAAAATTAAAAAAAATAGTAAACTAAAAAAATTTAATAAATGACTTTCTCACATACACTAAAATAATATTAGAAATCTACAATCAAATCGAGCAATTAACTTAATTTAAAGAAACAATTCTAATTGAAATTAAAAAAATTATTAGATGAATTAAGATAGAAATTCTAAGATATCAAAAGAACACAATTAAGAAATTTTCTTTAATCTTAATTAAATTTCCTTCTTCAAATTGAACTAATCACTTAATTTGATTGTAGATTTCTAATATTATTCTCATATATGTGACAAAATCATTTATTAATTATTCTTAGTTTACCATTTTTTTAATTTTAATTTTTTGAAACTAAATTATTATATTTTTAATTTTTAAGAACTGATTACGTAAATATTTTATTCTCACCTTAACGGAAAGTTAATAGTAACGGAAAGTTAATGGATTTTGTTAATTTAGAGACTAAAATTTTCAAATCTTTAAGTTCAAAAGTTAAAAATCTCATGGTTTAAGTGAATGGCTAAAAACTTTAAATTTAACAAGGTAAAGGGGCTAAATATATATTTTACCCTGATCGTTCTAATAAAAACAAAAGATTTTGTTGCCGTTTTTCATCCTTTAAATTATTCCCACAACCGCAAACATATTATCTTGCTCTTTTATCCGTTAAAATGGCTGCAACTTACCTCCTCCTATGTCTCTCTTTGCTTGCAGTGGCATTAGTGCAAGGTCAACAGTGTAATTTTTTCGAAGGGAGTTGGGTGATCGATGATGCTTACCCTCTCTATACTAATTGTTCATTCATCAGCGATGGATTCAATTGCCAGAAATATGGTAGGCCAGACAATAAGTACCTCAAATACAGATGGAAACCCACTGCCTGTGAACTACCCAGGTAAATTCCCTCTATAGTTTTCCTTGGTATTTTCTATATTATTTTAAAAAATTAAAACTTGTCCATTAAATTTAAAGAAGATTTTTCTTTACTGTTTTTTTTTTTTTTTTTCCAAATCTTGGATTATATAGGGAAGACAATCCTCTTCCATCCATCTATCTCCATCTCACTTATGCCTACAACTTGAACCTAGAACATCTTCTTTCATTACCACAATGGGTTGGATAAATCATTGGCATTTTAGTGGTTGTTATTTGTATTTTTCTATACGTATGATTGTTGGGAATTGTTAAGATTTTCGGTGGTAAAATGAAAGGGGTTAGAGAGAGGACTTGGAGGAGAAGGAGACGGTGAAAACTAATTTTTTTCATTCATCCTCTGCCATTATATTGCAGAAAACCACTTAATACATTAACAGTAATTTTCTCACTTAATATTTACTTAATACAAGAAAAATCTACCAGACATTTAATGCAAGATTACATTAAAAGATTTGCTGCCATTTTGTGCGGTTCCATGTAGCTGTAACTCTGCAGCCCCTTTGCAACCCCTTGGCAGCCTTTCATTTCGCATTTACATTTCATTTGCTGTTCATTGCATCCTCATTTCATCTACATTTGCAGTTTAGCTTGCTGCACTTTGCCGTTACCGTGCTGTTGGTTCAGATTTCCCTTCTTTTCATTTTACTGCCACTTGTGCAGCTTTAACACCAGAACTCCAACAAGAATAATAACAGAAAAATTCTCAATTTTTCATTATTTTAGTGCTGATTTTTTGGTACATATATATATATATATACACAATAACCCTCTATCTTTTGGTAAAGACGATTAATTAGCAGATTTCATTACTTAGAAAAGTCACTTGTAGATCAGTTTCTTGATTCAATCGTAGACATGAGATGTTTAATTGATTTTGCTAACAATTTTGCTGATAAAATAATTTGCTATCAATTTTATAAAAAAAATTTAATTTGACGAGGTTAATTTTTTCAATTTGTAGGTTTAATGCTCTGAATTTCCTGGAAAAGTTTCGTGGGAAGAGCATCATGTTCGTGGGAGACTCTATAAGTCGAAATCAGTATGAATCCTTAATATGCATGCTGCATTCTGCAATACCCAACGCCAATTACAGCCGCAGCACAAGAGATGGAAACATCAGTTTATTTGAGCTCACGGTATACAATAATTTTCATTTTTAGCATCTCCACACCAAGATTAGTAGATTCACATATTATTAACTCATATAATTTACTATAAAATAAGTGTTATGCAGTTTAAATTATTTTAAATTATATAATTTAAATCATTGAATTAGGATAATCTCTTAATTAAAAATTCTTTTCTCATCCAATAATTTATATTTTGTTTACAATCCTGTACAATGTAAAATATAAAATAATTTATTAGGATACAAAACTCCCCATTTTATTATTATTGTTATTATTTTTCTCTTATAAAATTTTGTAGGAGTATGAGATTAAGGTGATGCGTAATCAAAAGGCATACCTAGTAGATCTGGTGCAAGAAAAAGTTGGTAATGTTTTGAAGCTTGATTCCATTCAAGGAGGCAAGTTATGGCTAGGGATTGATGTGCTGGTTTTCAACTCATGGCATTGGTGGAATCGTAAGACGTATGTTGATTTAATTAATAGAAAATTGCACATAACTTCTTGTAGTGTTGGGTAAGTGTACGTAACAGTTTCAAATTAAAAATGTACACAAGAAGAAGAAACATCAAACCAAAGAAAATCAAACCGGTACAACCAGTGTAGACATTTTGGTAGGAGATCACGTGCACTCACCTAAAATCGTACAATTTACATACCCTTGGTAGGATTTAGGAATTAGCAAATTGTTTTTTTCTTAATTATTGTAATTATTTTGTGAATTTTCAGATGGGATTACATCGAATTTAGAGGTAATTACGTAAAGGATATGGACCGCATTGTTGCTCTAAAAATTGCACTCACGACATGGGCAGATTGGGTCAACATCAGCATTAATCCCAAAAACACAACCGTATTTTTCCAGGGCCTTTCTCCGACTCATTACGAGTAAGTTTATGACCATTGTAGGTTCTAGACA